CCAATCAGAAAATAATGAGGTACAAGAATTTTCTATTCATGGATTGCCATTTTTATTCAAAAACACAGTAAATGACCAGAAGTGGAGGAGATGATTGACGAAAGGTAATAGAAAATGTAAAACAACAGACTTCCCACTTGAACTTTGTCTCAGGCCAGAAAGAGGCTCGACGTTCGAACCTATCATTAGCTTCTGGTGGAGTTCCTGACCTTCCTGTGCCTGTAACACCAGCCTCATGAACCCTCATCACTACATTACAAACCCTCTCCACCACACACTGAACTCCCCACGAGCCCATCAGGGACGCTCTTACGAGTCCCTTAGTGCTATTTAAATCACCATTTCTCAGGCGGACTCTCAGCACTGCACAAAGGCCCTCCTGTCACCCAAAGTGACACCAAAACCCGCCAAATCACACCCCTGCACAGGGAGGATGGGCCCTGTGGTTTGGAAACTGTGTGAGAGCTTGTAAGGTCATGGGTTCAATCTCTGCAGTGGTCAGTAAGTTAAACACTAGCCTGGAATCGACCACCTTCAGTGTCTTCAGTTGGAAATGGAACGAAACAAACGAGGTGTTCCATTTAAAAGGAAAAAGTACAACCCAACTCCAAAAAAAGGTTTGGAGGATTTAAAATGTTGTTACAGCCTATTTTTTATCTCTGCACTGCAGAAATACGCTCACATACAGTGGTTTTTGATAACATTTTTTGTGTGTGCAATGATTTCCACTCCAGTCATGTCTGCTTTTGATGCTATTCTGCATCTGAGCAGAAAATTGACCGGCATTGGGCATAACTGTCAGCCTTGACCTTTTTACATCATTCTTAAACTGTTGACCTGTTAGCTCACGTACTCTATCTTTCCGTCCAAGAGACTCTCTGAACGTCCCTTTTTATACCCAGATATCCTCTTACCTGGTGCAAATCGGCCACATTAGTTGGGAGATGGTGTACCGAGTTTTCTTTTAAGCATTTCACAGCTTTTGCAACTCTTCTTGTTCTTTTTTTGTACTTTCAATGAAAAAATTACGTTAAAATGATTTGCGAACCATCAAAATCTTCTTTCGTTGTCATTTTACTTTGTTACCCAACTTCTTTGGAAATTCGATGGAGTATTTTTTTTATTTCTTGAAACGTCTTAACTACCTGATAAAAGTAGATTATTAAAATCACAGTAAAGGCTCTTAATGAACAGTAGAATAAAGAATAGTACAAAGCATTGTCGTCAGTTTTCATAAACCCGTGTGCCGAGGCCTGACCTTTGACGGCACCTTCTGAAATGTCAAAAATGCAGCAGCATCGATGAGAAAATAAGCCAGGTTTTCTCATTTCCTCAAAAATTGCCTCTTCAGAGTCATATAAGATTTTTGCAGGATGCTAATGATTTGTTTTAGCAGTTGGGGGGCTCTATGGCAGCATGTTATAAATACCTTAAGGGCCCCTTAGCAGCATCTTACGAGGGCCGTATGAACTGCTCATGAACCCTGGGTCTTTTCCCAGGCACCTTAAAGTAAACAACGTGCAGGCTCCTTAACACCGAGGACGGCTGGCTCTCTGAATCTGACTCTAACCCTTACCTGAGTTAGAGTATTAGTGATTTTAGCTCTGAGAGAGTTTAAAGATGAAGTTCGGAGAGCGAGTCCAATCATCGTGGACTGGTAGACACTTGTATCCTGTCACATGGCATCATATCACCCAACACTTGCGTGAAGTATTTGAGAATAACTTGTTTAACTCCCTCTTGTCAAGGTAAAACTTGGATTTGTTGGCTCGGACCAAACAACGAATTTCCCTTTTTGTCCTTTTTCTCACAGTAACTGATATTTAGCTGTTGTACCTCCAAAGCCAGTTATTCCACTGACTTTACAAGATAGCTCCAGATGTCATTTCTGCTGCACAGACTTTATTGGTGTCCTCTGCTCGGAGTGCTCCACCGATTTTTCTTGTAACAGGCTAATTAGTTTGTCACAGTACCTGCAGCGGCCTCCTCTGACTCCAGTTTCTGTTTTACACACCCTGAGAGCCTTTTACTTACGTGTCCTTTTGACAAACACATGAAAAGGGTGTGAAAACAAGAGGAGAGTGTGTGAAGTCCATGTTAACAGTGTGGGAGACATGACTTTTCCCACTTGTATAAAGACAGACTGTCAGACGGGGGTCAGCGCTGCTGTAGCTGCGAGCGTGTAGGTGTGAGTCACCCAGCTAAAGGCCGATCCCTGTGCCAGCTCTCTGCTGAGTGTCACTATTAGAGAGCAGCTCAGAGGGAACACATCATTACAGCCCAATAAAAAGCCTTTATTCACCCCCAAATTATGGCAGCAGCATGTGTGAACCCAGCCTGAGTGGTGGGAGATGTTGTAGTCTGAAAGGAGCACTGTAGCCCTCTTTATATTTCGTAATACTGCTGGATGAAGTGTGTGTGTGGGTGTGTCCGTGTGTGAGCGCAGCGGTTGGTCCAGTCATGTCAGTTTAATTGAGCGTGATGACTTCTTACTGAAGGTGCCAGATGGACGGAGAGAGAGCGAGAGAGCTCGGTGGGAAAAGAAGAAGAAGTCCTGTAAGAGACAGAGTTTGACCGCTCACAGCTCATTTTTGAACCACTGTGTGAAGGGCCTTTATTTTCTGGGGTTGGTTTATCTCAGGTTAAAGGAAGAGTTCAATGTCGAGGATTGAGACTCAGCCTCTGGTTATCAGTGAATATTGTCAACCAAGAACTTTGCCTGTTCCTCACCAACCATCTCAAAACCCAAGATGACTTCTGCTGGCATCAGTAGAGGTGATGGCACACTCTTTTATTTCTTACTAAAGACACAGGAAAGTCAAGTTTCTGACCTGAAATCGATTATTCCATCTTGTGTAGTTTGTCATAGTGAAAAACAATTAAAGACATCTCTGCCTTCGTGATGTGCCGTCAAGGGATAACGATGGCTAATTAAGAAAAGAGAAAGGTTGCTGAGAAACTTTGTTTTATGGTTCTTTGACTGATGTGACTGTAAGAAGCACATCCTGAGCCACTGGCTAACCTGACTAGAACAAATCACCTGATAGTAGAGATGTCCTGTTCTGATCTTGATATCAGATATTGGTCCGATATCAGCAAAAAACAAAAAGGAATATTTGAATATCGGCCTGCATATAAAATCTTAGATATCAGCATTTCGACAAAAACAGTCAATTCCAGACTCCGCTCTGGACCTCTACTGGTTCTAGCAGTACTAAGGTACAAACAAAGTATCAAGGAGTAGGAGTGATGTTGACCATGTGGCAGTCCGAAAAAGACAGCTGAGTGCAAAACTTGACATGCATAATTTTGTAGCAATATCGGATCAATATCGGTATCGGCCAATATTGAAGGCTACAATATCGGTATTGTATCGGAAGTAAAAAAGTTGTAACGGGACACTCCTACCTGATAGATCCCTGTTTCATGAATTTCTAGACCAAAAAAGAAATTAAATCTGAAGTGCCGTTGTTCACACTACCTTGTACCGGTCACACAGGTAAGTGGAAAGGAGGTTTACCTGCCTGAAATCTTGGAGAATTCGTGAAAGTGAACTTAAACTTTGATAAACTAAAAACAGACAGCTTTGGGGGAAATGGAGAACATTTTTGAATTACCCACCTCATTACTTTTCTGCAACATTAATCAGTGCTGCTGGTTTGGTTTTATCCTTTCGTGCCAACATAAACCATTTCCCCAAAGTATGCAGACGAACCTGACCAGAGAGTCATAATGGTTTTATGTTTCATCGCGACGATTACTCCGCACACGACGTCAGAACCTTTGAGAAAGTTTGGTGTGGCAGCAGAAGACTGGTCCCACCACATCAAACCCCGCTGGAACGGACTGAAGCCCTGACTGAAAGCCAGACCTTATCTCTAACATCAGTGTTGGACTTTTCTGATGCTTTTGTGGCTGATTTGTAGAAAATCCCTGCGTTTAAGTCCCAAAACTTTGGAGGACCACCTAAAACCAGAATAGTGAATTAGGATGACTTGTCTTCCAGTCATGTGTCCGCCCCTTTACTTGCAGTACAGCCCAGCGCGGTCAGAAATGTCTGCATGAATGTACCTCGTTAAGTTTTTTACATGTTCGTTTGGATCATCCCTGTCTGGGACATCGCAAAGCAAAGAAAGGCGTCACCATGTGGACTGTAGGCTGGACTGGGATTTGACCACATCCTATGCAAAACAGCTGGCAGGGTCTACGTGCCAACGCCCAGCGAAGTCTAGGAAGGCCTGGTCTCTGGACGGAGGTCTGTGTTTTGGCTTAGGTCGGGTCATAGCTCCGAGTTTTTCTTGGTAAACGAAAGTTCACCTTCAACATCATCCTGTAACTTTTTGGGCTAAGGAGGTGCAGACTCTCCTTTGAAGCCCTGTTGCACTATTTCTGTGATAAGGGTTTTGGCTTAGGGTCCATAGGTGCTCGACCCTTAACTTGGGCTGAATTAGGCAGATCGTGAAACTGATTTCCATCACCAAGATTAAACCATGGCAGATGTGTGAGAGATTAGATACTTTTAAATTACTTGATGTGAGGCGGCCTTAAAGCTTGGTCTGAGCTGGTTTGGTTAGTCTTTTCTTGTTGTACCTAAAATGTCTTATGTGGTCAGAAAACAAAGGTTACTGCAGTCCTTACTTTTGGAAGTGTAATGGGAAATAATCTGGTTGAAAATCTGGGGGTTAAAAGTCTTAGAAGTTAGGACCAAGCATGTCAAGTACAAGTCTTTGTAAAAACTAGTAGTTTCTGGCTTTTTATGTTTTTTTTTCAAGTCTAAAACATCAAATATCAACCAAGAACAAAGATAAATTTCAGCTATGACAACCATAAAAGCTTTTAGGAGACCTTAACTGATAGGCGGTAGGATTTTAAGAATATCAAATTTAGGATATTTTGGCAGGCAGTATTTGAAAGCACGTTCCGTGGAATTTTCTGTAAACAGATAATTCAAACTGATTGAGTTCACCTAAAGTGGTTATCCCCACCTGTCCTCTACTCAGACAACTTTACATCAATCTTTGCCAAGGACACAGTGGCCGACAAATGGAGCCAGAGTTTGAATTAATGTCAGCTCATCCAGGAGGCCCATCTCATCCAGGGGGCCCACTGCTACTGGTCCACAAGGCTGACCTCTCACCAGAAGGGTGCGCTCTCAGAAGGTAAGTCTCTGATTCCTCTGCTGACCTGATCGTATGAAGACACACACACACACAAACACACACACACACAGGCAAACACTAATGCATGCATGCAAACTGGCAAACATGGTCTCTCTCTGACCCCGAGGCAGTCCCAGTCATGTGGTTGTGGGAATGTCGCTGGGATTTGTGTTTCAGCGACTGCAATAACAGGGATCAAATGGGAACATGTGGACAGAATTCCAAACCCCGGGCAGAGCACAGCGGTGATTGTTTTGGGCCCATTTTGATGTCGCTGCTTTTATGGGGATTAGTTTTATGGCGTTTTTGTTTATCATCAAGAGGGGAACGTGGCGAGGGCGGCACGAGCCAAAAACGTGTGACAAAGCTTGTATAAGAAGGATACGAGGCCAAAGCGCACCATGGCATCTCTGAAAACATCCATGAAAACGCTGAACTCCAAGTGACTCGAGGAGTTTTTCGTAATGAGCTTTTAAATTCATGCTGGCAACCACAGAGGCGCATGTCAGAGCACTCGTCAAAAGTTGGGAACAAGATGATTTTTCCGTCACGTTTAATAAAGATTCAAAGAAAGTGACTTTTTTTGAGCGTCTGCCCCCGTTTTTGTTTTATTCATCAAATCAAAGTCAGCTGGTCTTTCAACACATCGACCGACAGCTGTTTCCTAAGCTGAAAAGAGTGAATGGGACCTCGAACACATCAGGACCTGCGGTGAATGGCAGAAGTTCTGATCTTCAGGAATATTCGTGACTGTGCATTGATAAAACTGAGAAGATTAAAGGCTTGTGCAGTTTGCATACAGAAGTTAATACCCCTTGAGTCCAATAGGTGGTGCTATTTATGTTATCGGCAAGGGGGTGCTATAACAGTAGTTGAAGAATCAACATACGAACGTGGAAGGGATGGACCTTCAAAGAGGTTATATAAATTAGCTAGATTAACTTCCTGTTTCATGGTGAATAAGCATCCACGGCTACGCTGTTTGACGAACAGAAAACCTTAAGATATCTTCACAAGGGTGAATTTTAATGACGACTACGAAACACTGAGGGAGGTCAGACTTGATTTCTGACCTCAGACAGAGAGCGTTGGTGAGCTGGGGGGTTACTGTAGATCAAATACGAGCATCTCACCACCTTATAGCCCATGGAGATTAGAGATGCACCGATCCATTTTTCTCCGATCCAATCCAATACTGATACTTGGGCTGAGTGTACCGGCCGATATTCTTCTGATTTGATTGTGTCTGTGCCAAAAATTTAAATACATCTGCAAAAGTCTCGGTTGTCACGTTTTATTTAGTTCTCATCTTTAATTGACACCGAAAGAAAGTCCATCCTGACAGAGACTTAGCTGAACTTTTCTCCAAAATAGAAAATGAAATCAGCCTGAACCATGACGTCACATCGATTACATGAAACATCACCTTTTCTCTTTTATTTCCTCGGATAATAAACAAAGTTTCTCCCAGTTTATAACCTAAAAAGTTGTGATTTACTTCAGCGACATAATTGCAGGTGTATCTGTTTGTTTACATGTTGTTAAGCAGAGAGATGCTCAGCCCAGTCATGGACTGCCCTGATGTTTGAAACATGAGGAGCACTTGTTGGAGAGCGCAGGTATTTCCTGTGTTTGTACCCGCCGTCCCTGCTGTCCTTTTGCCCTCGTCTTTTTTAAATTTCCTGCGTTTAGTGTTTGCGATGGCTGGATGCCTGTTTGGTTAGGTGGTGGTGACGGAGGAGGGGACGGAGGGCGAGGATGTAGACTAGATTTCATCACAATGATCAACTTCTCTGAAAAATATCCTTTCTACAGCCTCTGACCTCAGTTCACCTGCTCGCGCCTCTCTCTGCGAGGACACTTTCTCAGAAATGTTGTTGACGTACACCTGTTCCTAACAAGCAAGAGGCCTGCAGATTAATGACACATAACAGCACGAGTTTTTACGACCAGGGCTTTTATTGATCTGCTTTAATAAATCAAATATGAAGTCAAGGTTTTCTGCATTGCAACATTTCGTCAATGAAGCACAGATAGTCCTTTCTTTGACGGTCTGGGACCAGTTATTTAGGCGACAAAGGACAATAAACTTCTGGATACTTTGGCAGCCATGTTTCCTCTCAAAGAGGTTTTAACGGGTCGATCTGGTTCTTTGTAACTGTGACCGTAACTTTGGTAGAACTGGTCCAAAATTACAAAATTCAGTCCAGTTGTGCCCGGTACAAAGTGTTGTGCTGGGGGATATCTGATCCAGGTGTTGTTATATCATACACACCCTTACGTGGACACTTGTGTAATCCGCTGTTATCCACACATGATGAAGATGAGAGGTAGAGAAATTAAACCTGACATTATAAAATATTAAAGGGATATTCCGTCGTAAAATTAATTTACAGTCAAACACACTGTAACACCAAGTTAGACACCCCCTCAAGAGATAAATGTTACCGACCACTTGCTTCTCCAGTTATAATGGAGACTCCTCCTCTCCACACCTGACCCACTGCTCTGATTGGCTCCCGGATGTCATCTCAGGAGGAGGATGCAGAGGTGGAAAAACACATGGCGAGCGCACCAGAAGAACCTGCGCCATGATGGAGCACATATGGTCCAGAATCTGACCCTGAAGAGGACGGATCCTTGAGACTCTGAGAAACTGAGGTAGAGTGGCGTCACACATGCTGATTTTGACCAAAACACGAAGGTACTGTCCATCTTTGACCAAACGTAACCCCTGAATCAGATGTGCGACTGTTTTCCGGCTGTCCCTGACCTTAACGGGAAAAACCAAAATAACCTCCTCCTCCTCCTCTTCCTGCTTTCATCTCTCCTCTTCATCTTCTCTCCCTCTCTCTTGTGTTTCTCATTTACTCTCTCTCTGTTTCTGAGTGATTACAGCAGAAAATAAACACCACTTGGACGGGCCACATCACTCAGGATCCACACACAGGAAAGGATGCACACACAAACACACATGTAAATCCACATTTTCGAGCAAACAGCAGAGTCGCTCGTGCCAGGAGAACTCCAGCTAAGAGACGGAGTCACTCAGAAAGCGAAATCATATAAAAAGTGTTTATTTTTCCCTCTCCGGCCTTTGATGGACAACTGGATCCATATGGGCCTCAGCGGCTCTGTTTAGCTGCTGGGATTCAAACCCGTAAACTGTTTTCCACATGGTGGGACACACCGGGGTCACCAGTTCAAGTCCTGATTTCAACCTCTTTATGAGCAACCGCTTTGCATGTTTAATCCCCCGCCCTGTACCACAAACTCAGATCCTGAAGGGGGGTCAAAGGTTCAATTCAGGATTTTTACTCGTAATTTAATGATTCTTTAATTCCACGGAGCAGCTTTTCACAAAGGCTCCATATTTCTACCAAATGTTTGGATCAGAAACTCCCAGAAAGGTCACGAGTTAAAGTCCTCATTCAACATGTTGGCAAGTCGTGGCTTCAGTTTGTCTTTGATTTTATATAATGCTCTCCAATCTGAGTGATGCACCACAGCTGAGCTCGAGATGTTCGATCTGACGCTTTAATTCAATCAGGTTTCACTAACGAAGCACAGAGACACGGTCCGGTCACAGCGAGACGTCACATCTCTTATTCTGAAAAACCCCTCCGTTGGTTTTTGGTGTTTCTTTGTACTTCTGCCTCCATCTTCATCATCCTGTTACCCACGCAGACAGAAGTAAAGACTCGAGGATCTCTGTCTCGCTCCCTTTCTCTTACACGGCCACATCCATCCATCCTACTCAAGTTGTTGTTCCGCCAAGTTGAGCAGAAGAAACAAACCGATGACGATTTAAAGAGAAAAAGATGAAGGTCGACTGTAAGCCTGCATCAGCCAAAGTTAGACGCATCCGGGGGGAAGTCAATTGGGAGCTCCACGGTACATTTGTCATTTCAAAAGTGCTTCCACCCGGGATCTATCTGAAAACTTCTTTTATTCGACAGAGTTTGTCTAGGAAAAGCTTGATTAAAGTCTTTTTCTTTGCTCGTTTAAAGCCCTGATTATGTGAGGTTAGCATTACCCATGGATCTCTGATAGTTTCGAATATTTCAGCGGGAATCAGCCACGCCTTTGCAAAGTCATCCAGGGAAAATGACCGTCCATGTTTTGGGATGTTGGTCACATCCATCCAGTCCATTGGTTATTGTCCTCAATGTTGATATCAGTAAATTTTCGTTTTTTTCCCCAGCCCTACTGAAAGAGCAGTCAAAGTTAGGTATACTATTATTAATGCAGCTGAACCTAGGATCACAACCTCCGTACAGAGTCTAAGCAGATGACTGTCTAACAGGAGTCTGGTTCTGCTCGAGGTGTCTGCCTGTTTGACATTTCAGTAGTTGTGTTCTGCAGCTTAAATGAACTGTGCAAAGATGTAAAAATAAATGTATTTTCAGTTCTGGAGATGGAAAACATGGATGAGAAGGTGAAAAGAGGAGTGATGAAATAGTGAGCAACACTCTGACTGTCCCAACAGTGATACCAGACCGAATACAGTGTGTGTGTGTGTGTGGATGCTCCGGGCTAACATATGAAATCAATCCAGTGAAGGTTTGATGGACTCCACCACATTATATTAACATGAAGATAAATGGACCAATTAAAATGTCCCACAATACACCAACAGGCAGCTACTTGTTCTCTGTGTGTGTATGTGTGTGAGAGTGTGTGTGAATGTGTGTGTGTGAGTGCCATCCACATCTGTGGCTGTTTATCACATCATTGAAGAGAGACAGAGTAGGAAAAATGAAGATGGAGAAAGAGAGGAGCTAATGAGAACGATTGTGTTCTCCCACTCATGCATGTCTGTCTTGGCTACCAGAGGAACCATGTTGGACTCATCTTTAGAAACCAGAACCCACAAGAAAGAAAGGTGAACCGGGAACACAAGGGAGGACGTGAAAAACGACCGCGTCAGGGCTCTGGATCTGCTGGGACTGGACGAGGTTGAAGTTGATAGATGTGCGTTAATAACTGTGACTTGGAGC